CGAGGGCACGGTGGGTCGGGTGAGTATCTCGCGCGCTCGCACTATTTCACGTTATATCAAGCACTGCCTTTGATGCCTTTGCAAGAACCGCCAGCGGCGGTGGTCGAACCGGTTCGCGGTTCGAGCCGGGACCTTTTGGCTCCCGGTTCGGAACTCGCTTGGAGGGTTGCTTCGCTCTCGCGGAGCGAGCGCGGGCGCGTGGGTGCGTGTGCGCGTGCGCTGCTGCAAGGCGAGGCGAGGCGAGGCGAGGCGCGGGGCGGCGCGGCGCGGCGAGGCGGGCGGCGGCGGCGCGCGGTCGTTCTTTTTGCCCGGGTGAGGCGTGGCTTGCGCGCCGCGCGGTGATGACGCAGCACGCTGAAAAGTCCTTGGTGAGCCATCGCGGTGGCAGCGAGCCAAAGAAAGCCACCTGCCGCATGACGGGTTGACCGACGGCGTCTGCCTTCGGAAAACGAAGTTCAGTGAAAAATATTTTTCTGTGTTAAGAGAGAAAATCGCGGGCGAGTGAAATTCTTTTTCGCAAGACAGCGACAAGCACCGGCTAAGGCCGTTAGTCTCTCGACCAACCTCCGTCCGCCATTCACCCCGCCTCAGGCCCCAGCCGCCTCCAGCGCCGTATCCCGCCCACGCCGGGGCGACATGGCCTCGCTGGCCTCCCTCTTCCCGCGTCGCACCGCCGTCCTCTTTGGCGTGCCCGGCCTCGGCGTCCCGAGCGACTGCGCCCGGCTCGCCCGGCGGACGGCGGCGCGCTGCGACGCCCTCGCCGCCGCGGTCATCTCGGCTCACCGCTCGGGCGGGCCCGCGGCGCCACGGCGCATCGTGCGTGGCCTCGACGCCCTCTCGAGCACCGTCTGCGGGCTGGTCGACCCGCTCGAGCTGGCGCGCTCCGCCCACCCGGAGGAGGAGATGGTGCGGGCCGCCGACGCGGCCCATGGCGAGCTGTGCGAGACGCTCCACCGACTCAACACCTCGGCGGAGCTGCACGCGGCTGCTGCCGCAGCGGCACGTGGTGCAAGCGCCCTCTCCACCGGCGGAGGCAGCGACCGGGGCTGCGGAGAGAGCGACCCGGGCTGTGGCGCGGACGAGGCCCCGCTGTGCGAGGCCGAGGCGAGGCTGGCTCGGGCCTTCGTCTCCGAGTTTGAGCAGGAGAGGGAGGGAGGGAGAGAAAGAGGGAGAGAGAGTCGGAGGGAGAGGGAGAGGGAGAGGGAGAGGGAGAGGGAGAGGTAGAGGGAGAGGGAGAGGGTTAGGGTGAGGGAGAGGAAGACACCGACATCCATGTCAAATGCTGATGTGTGAGTACCTGCTCGTCGGTCCTCACCACCGATGGCTCTGTGGGCGGCGGTGCAACACGAAGCAGATCATGGAGCACATCGCTCAGCGCCAACTCGGCGCGGCGAGCGGTGCAGTCGTTGACGCCAAAAGTGAGCGTGAGCGCCTGGCCCTGCAGCATCATGCCGGTCACGTACTGTATCACCTCGCAATCGAGGCCGCGGCTGCGCTCCACACTCGTGCCTTCGCTCTCTCCTCCCTCTCCCCTCGATGCTGACGCCGGCGCTGACCTGCCGGTGAAGACGCCGCCCTGCTGCTGCTGGCGCG